TTTTTGGTGTTTCGCGAGGCACAGTATCCAAGATTATGACCGCATACAGGAGGACTGAAAAAACCGCATCCGATAAACACCAGCGTGGACGGAAATGTGTGTTGAGTGATCGAGACAGACGAACATTGCGTAGGATTGTGACGAAAAATAAGAAGACTGCAGCTGCAAAAGTGACTGCTGAACTGAATGTCATGCTCACAAACCCTGTCAGCACCAAAACAGTACGAAGGGAACTCCACAAGCAGGGTATTTCTGGACGAGCTGCAATTCCAAAGCCACTCATCAGTGATCAAAATGCCACTAAGAGGACAGTGTGGTGCCGAAGTCATAAAACCTGGACTATGGAGCAATGGAAGACGGTCATTTGGTCGGATGAGTCCACCTTCACTCTGTTTCCGACTTCTGGTCGAGTTTACGTCTGGAGAACGCCATCCCAAGCTTACGATCCAGATTGTTTGATGCCAAGAGTGAAATATGGCGGGGGTTCGATCATGGCATGGGCAGCCATATCGTGGTATTCTGTCGGACACATCATTACCCTGCAAGGTCACGTCACTGCCAACGACTATGTGACCATTTTGGGTGACCAGGTCCATCCAATGGTGCAAACTTTGTTCCCCGATGGTGATGCCATTTACCAAGATGACAGTGCCCGTGTTCACACAGCTCACATCGTCCAGGACTGGTTTTCTGAGCACGAAGATGAAGTGTCACGTCTGCCATGGCCCCCACAATCGCCAGATATCAATATTATTGAGCCTCTGTGGTCTGTTTTGGAGAGCAATCTGCGTGCGCGCTATCCACCTCCACCATCGATAACAGAACTTACCATGTTTTTCAGGAAGAATGGTACAAGATTTCCTTGTAAATCATACAGGACCTCTATTGATCCATTCCAAGGAGACTGCAAGCCAGACGTTGTCCTACATCATATTAGTCACGGTAATGTGTGTTTTGTTGGGTGTCTCCATATTTTTGTCCATCCCCTGTAATTGTAACTACGAAACAAACCAATGCAATAGCCATCCGGCCCGCATCAAAACATTCGTATAAACATCTTATTCCATTACCCGTGTCTCCCCGCGATGCTTAATATATATTACTTACTCATGGAGCTGAGCCCTTCTTGAGAAGCCGCCAGTTGTGCAGCTACTCAAGAATTTCCCAGCATTTTATGGAAACCAAAGGTTCATTATCATTACAAAGACAAAACAACTCAGTCCACTGTGACCATTCAAGGTTTTACTACTTGAAAACTTAACACCCTTACATGTTTCGGGCCCTATAGACCAGGCATGACAAACTCAACTTGTACAGAGTGCCACCTCAGCCCTATATATAATAGTCCAGAGCCGCACTTCAAAAATAGAAATATATATTAGATTTTGATACAAGGAAATTTATTATTTATTTATTATTTATTATTTATTTATTATAAATTTAATTTATTATTATTTAGGAATAATTTCAATATAATTACCTAAAGTCACATATCTTACAGTTTTAAAAAGCAAAAATGCCATTTTTGATAAGTACAAACATAT